TCTACTTACTTAGTTGTCAGACTCATGTTGAACAGGGATTTACTCTGATAACAACTTAATGGTTAGGACACAGACCTGTGGGTTAGGAGATGCTAACGTTAATGCTAATGCTCGTGTGGGAATGGACTTTGCAAATATCAGCGGCCGATCCGATTTAAATATCAAATCGGGACAAGCGTAGTTTAGACTAGACTTCATTATCCTTTTGTATGAAATTCAAGTTGGGTAAAGTGGTAAAATATGTGAGTTTTCCAGCAGTTTTTGGGAGCTTTATGTTACCTGTCTATTCGTACATTAAAGCGCCTCCTGAGCTAAAGGCTGAGAGGTGAAAATTTGTGATGGCGAGATGAAGCTTCATAAAGCTTTAAAGCGTACCATCCAGTTGGTTCATGGGGTTTCATTTTCTCTATTGTACCATCAGGTGGGCAATAGATGTAAAACATACAGAGTGATTATAATGAGACTCTGGCTTTAGTGTCTGAAGCTTTGAATGAATTAATCAATGATTTTTGTGATGCTGCCGTCTCCCCATTGGCTACTGGGATAGGCTCCAGGGAATAAGGGGTTACCATAATGGATGTTTGTGATGCTTATACATAAATTATAAACTTTTATATGGTGTCTGTCTTTATGATACAATGAAGGGAAGCTTGAATAGATCGCTAACAAACTCGTAATTAAGTCCCAAGTCCACAAAATGCGAGGCAATTTATTGGCCCTCATATTTCAAGTAGACCTGCTACTAAATGTGCCATCTTCATACTTTGTACTCTGTATGTTATTGGTTTAAAAAATGTTCAATAAATAAAGTTGGGAAAAGAAAAAAAAAAATACAGAGTACAAAGTATGAAGATGGCACATATATATATACTTTTTTTTTTTACAGTCGTTTTTTGGGTTTAAAAAATCTTTGTGCCCTTTGTCTGGTAAACCAGTCTTGCATGCACAATATTGGAATAAAAAACACGCAAACATATTTCAAATAGACCGCCAAACTGCGAACCACTTCCTGAATCAGTCACTAGTGAAAACGCCTCTGAGAAGCAGGTTTTTCTCGGTCCCCTCCAGGTGGAGTTCACCCGGGAGACGGAGGAGGAGGACGGGCAGAAAACCCAGAAGCACAACCGGCGCGTCCTGTTCCAGAGGATGGCGCCGTACCCGCAGCGTAAGGTCATCACCTTCAACCGCTACAGCGACGACTTCAGCTTCCACATCAACTACGGGGACCTGGGCTTCCTGAGCCCCGAAGAGCTCAGGTGGGCCTGATTTATCCTCCTAGGGTCTGGCTCCAACCTCCTAGGGTCCTAGGGTCTGACTCCACCCCTCCTAGGGTCCTAGGGTCTGGCTCCACCCTCTTAGGGTTTGATTCCACCCCTCCTATGGTCTGGCTCCACCCTCCTAGGGTCCTAGGGTCTGACTCCACCCTCCTAGGCTCTGGCTCCAACCTCCTAGGGTCCTAAGGTCTG